CCCCCAGGTCCCCCCCAGCTGCCATCTTGGCGCCCATCCCCCGCCGCCGCCCTCCCCCGCAGCCCGAGGAGCAGTGGGAGGGGGAGCAGGGGGCACCGCCCTGCGCGCCCCGAGGGGGAGGGGTCCGCGTCCCGCTCGCCCGCCCTCCCCCACATCCCCCTCCAGCGCGCGGACGCGGCCCACACAGGTTTCGGCGGCCGCGGGGACCCGCGACCCCCGGCAAGTCCCGGGCCTGGCCAGCTCTGCAGCCCGCAGCTCAAGTTCAGGCGCCGCCCGCCGCCGCAGGCCCCATCCTGGCGGGGGCTGGCGCTTGGGGGCCGGGTGTGGGCTCCGCTCCCTCCCAGCACTGGGCTCCTCTGGCTTCGCAGACGTTTCCACTGGCCCGGGCTTAGTTTTCCCGGCTGTACTTACCAAAGCTAGGTCGGATATTGGTGATCTCAGCCATGTCGTAATCAGAGGCTATTGCTGTAAATGCTTTTTCAGTGGTCGGCCAAGTCTGGGGACGCCCGGCCAGCACCGAGGCCGCCGCGGTAGAGCGCTAGCTCAGGGGAGGGGGGGAGGTATCTGGCGGACGCCTCCTGCGACGGCCGGGCCCCTGGTTGCCAGCTGCGGGCGCCTCCGAAGATGCTCCAGGGATGCTCTGAGCGAAGGATGCAGGTGCAGCCAGACTGGTCCTGATGCGAGGTAGGCCCCGCCTTCTTCCGAACGGCCCTCGGCAGAAGACTCCGCCTCCGTCCGAAAAGCTCCGGAAGTCAGGCCCGGCCCCTTTCCGGAAGCTCTCCGCGAGGGGACCCCTCCCGTCGCCGAGATTTCTGGGGGACGAGACCCCGCCCACTGGCGGGCTGTGGGTCCCTAAGGCGAGAAGCCCCGCGGCCCGAGCCAGAAGTGTAGGTACATTTTCATCTGAGGTCCTATACATCCTGTGATTCCGGGTTCCGGGGCTTAATATAGCGGCAGAATGTTCTGGATGACAGGGACTCCAGAATTTTGGAAAAAGAAAATTCTATACTGCCTGCATTTCAGTATCGTTTGCCATTATTGTTAGGCATTTCTGAGACCGCTAAAGGTTATTATGGGAACTTATTTAAACTTCAGCAGCTCTGATTAAAGACTAAACCAGGTGATGTTGCATAACTCTGAAAAGTTGCTGGGAATAATTGTAGAAGCAAAAATTCTACAATCTACGGATGGATTTTGTGGTGTGTAAATTAAAGCTTTGTTTTGTTTTTTGTTTTTTCTTTTTTAAGGCTCGTGTGTTAAAGGTAGTGGCTATTTCTCTTCCAAAAGCTTCAAGTGCATAGGGCTGCTTAGGGGGAGAGAGGGAGGGAGGGAGAGAGAGAGAGAGAGAGAGAGAGATAAGGGCAGAACAAGAGCAAACCAACAGATCTGTGTATTCTGCAGGTTGAAAAACGGGACACAGACAAAACTCCAACCTTCTAGAGACTTCCTTGGCATTTGGGAGAGGTAGGGTGATTCAGGTTATAGACTACTGGCAGTAATCTCCACGATTACCTCAATTTCACTCTCTTTGGCTGTGGATGCTTTCATCTTGTTTACAGACAGGATCAGGATCAAATTATTTAAGTGCATAAATATTTGTTGATGCTTCACCTGTAAATTGAGACAGTGTTTTTTCAACTCCGACATTGTCCTTCTAGAAAAGTGTAAAGAACATGGTTCTAGGAATCATTCAAAACCCATGTAATGAATTAATAAACATCGACTCTCTGCCCCAGGCACCTTCCCGGGCACTGGATCATGGCAGTAGAAGCTAGAGGATGCCCGATTCCCCTTGATAGCTGTGTGTCTTTGTGAAACCACCTTTCCATCTGAGACAGACATTTCTGTTCCGTGTAAATTGGAAGGTATAATATACATTGTCCCATCGGGTTTCTAGTGAAGATCAAATCACCTATGATAACGTAAATGAAAACATTTTGTGAAATGAAGAGTATGATACAGCATCAATAATCACTACGGGTTGAGTTCAAGATTGCATTCACTTTATTCAGAAAACCGCACTATTTGTAAGCCAGGAGTCCTCTTTCTGTGATTTTATGAGTTCGCCATTTCTCGGTCCCGATTCCTGGTATCTCGCGGCGAGAAGGATTAGAGAGATGTCAACCTAAGCCACTGAATTGCAACCCCCAGCTTTGTTTTGAGTGGGACAGCTCAAAGCGAGACATTGCTTTAAACCCTTTCGCCAACAACCGACGTGCCGGCTTCAGTCCGCCCGCACCTAGCATGGCGCCTGGAGGTCAGCGCATGCTCCTTGGCTGGCGCCGCGCACCGCGGCTCGGGGGCGCGCACGTCAGTCGCTGCCGTTGGCTGACTTCCGGCGGGAGCGGAGTTGGGTTTCCGCGGGATCTGGTCGGCTGGTGAGGGCGGCGGGGCGCGTGCGGTGGGGCGGGAAGAGGCGGGTGGGAGCTGGACGACCGGGCCGAGGGGTCGGGCCAGAGGGCTGGCGTGGGTTGCGTGACAGGAGGTGGAGCGTGAAGGTGTCTGGCGGGGCGTGGGGACCGCGGCCGGCTCTCGGCGCCGCGGTGGGAAGCGCGCTCAGGACCCCCTGGTGAAATCTGTTCCCCGGACCGGCCCGCGCTGGCGCTGCCCCGGAGTCGCGTTCATTCACCCGGTTGGGGTGACTCGAGTTCCCAAAGCGGGGGCCTTTTTAGGGTTGCTGCGTTCGAAGTGTCTGGAGCCCATCTCTGCGCGCTGCTGACTTTGACTAGTAGCTGCCTTCTTTCTGTCCTTTTTCTTTTTTGAAGCTGTCATTCATCTCTGAAATGTAGGACTCTTCTAGCTGCTCCCACTCCATCTCTTACCTCCTCACCGCCCTCCCTCACGGGGGTCGACAAAGTCTTTAATAACTAAGAAAAGGACATCAGCTGATTTTGGGGTGGGGATTTCCTGGTGCCTGAATTAGGGAGGCTTATTTTATTTGCTTTTAAAAAGTTTTTATTTCACTTATATTAAGTAATCTCCCCAGCGTGGGACTGGAACTCATGACCTTGAGATCAAGAGTCCTGCGCTCCACTTACTGGGCCAACCGGGCGTTCCTGAATTAGGGAGGTTTAAAAAAACATCACAGTTGAGACTGAAAGAGAACTTTCTTACTCCTCTAGTCCAGGCTTGCATGTAGTGCTCTGATAGATGGGCATTCAGACTTTGCCTGAGCATTGTCAGCATAACACCAGGCAACTTATTTTATTCTTGGACTATTTTAATGAGAGTAAAGTTTTTCTGGGTAGAATGTAGTCTAGGAAGTTCAGAAGTCCATGCGCTTTCATTCATTATTTCATTTCTTCAGGGAGCATTCACTGAGTATCCAGTAGGCACATCCTGCCAAGTACTAGGGGTACTAATTGAAAGAATCCTTTTCCCCAAAGAGCACGTGGTTTTGAGGGAAGGAGAGATGGCAAGGAGACAGGCAAGAGAATAACAAAAGTGATAAATACTGTAAAAGAGGTTTACAAACAGGTGCTATAAGAATGTAAAAGAAGATACCCTCCAATTGTTGCCCTTAGGATGTGAAAACTGGAATTGAGGCCAAGAGTTGAGAAGTAACATAGCATAGAGAATGATAGCAATCTCTTGTTTTCAAAACAGAATTTCTGTTAATCTAGCTTAACCTTTTTAAACAACCACACTTTGCTTTTGGGTTCTTTCTGTTGATGGGACTCCCTGTTTATGAAAACGGCAATAGCAAACATTATCGATGTGATAAATTACTATTTGATGGCATAGACGCTGTTTTTATTTCATTTGATAGCTGAAGAAACTGAGATTCGGGTTATTTATGCGGTTTCAGAAAGTTGGAGAGAAGCTGACTTGGGAAACAAATGCAGACAGTTTGACTCCCACTTTGCTCTCAGCATCATGCTATTCTGCCTCCCTGATAGTAACGATCACTGACGTTTACTAATTACTTACTGTTTGATTTTTAGAGCAACCCTATGAGGTAAGAACAATTACTCTCTTTTTCAGCTGAGGAAACTGAAGATTAGGGAGGTTAAGTTGCTCAGCCAAGATAACATGCTAATCGGTGGTGGAGTTAGGGTTTGAACCCTGCACTCTGACCACGGTCACTCCTCTCCCATCTAATGGGAGGTTGCGGGGGCACCTGGGTGGCTCAGCTGGTGGAGCGTCCAACTTCAGCTCAGGTCATGATCTCACGGTCTGTGGGCTGGAGCTCCACATCGGACTCTGTGCTGACAGCTCAGAGTTTGGAGCCTGCTTCCGATCCTGTGTCTCCCTCTCTTTCTGCCCCTCCCCACTCTCATTTTGTCTCACTCTGTCTTTCAAAAATAAATAGATGTAAAAAAAAAAAAAGAAAGAAAAAGAAAAAAATGGGAACTTGTGCATTTGATATAAAGTACTGTGTCCCTGACTGAACATGAATAAGTGGAAAGGTGCTTGAAGAAATGCTCTTATCATTAATTAATATGAAGGTGATAAGAACTCGCTTTTCTCCTTTCAGGATGGAACCCAGGTGGGACTTGTACAATGTTGCCCTGTAAGAAGAGAAGGACTACGGTGACTGGGTCCCCACAGCACCAGGGCAGCCAGGAGGAAGAGGACCTAGACCTGGAGTCCGCTGTTAAACCAGTGTCTGACGAGGTGAAAGACTTGGGGTCAGCGTCACTCTCTGGGGGTCCAAGTCATGGCAGAACGGCTGGCCTCCAAGTGCAGTCCGTGCAGGAGGCAGGAAATCAGCTTGGCGAGGAGGATCCACCTCTGAGCTCCAGGGTGCTCACCCAGGACACAAACGCACCAGTTCTGGAAGCTGTTGACGCGGCCATCTCTCAGGGCATCGCCCTACCTTCCTTGGAGTCTTCTCAGTCTCTTATTGTACACACTGGCAAAGGAAAGCTCCAGGCCCCTGGCTCAAGGAGAGGGAAGAAGATTGCACTCAGGCCTGGGCCAGTTCCCCACGAAGATAGAGGAGATCATCCTGTTACAAAGGAGCCTTTTTCAGGAGAGCCTAGTGAAGAAGTCAAGGAAGAAGGAGGTAAGATATGAAACGTCTTAAGCCACGTTTCCTCGGTCGGTGCTAGGTGGCATTCCTGTACAAAGCAGTGTTTCTGAAAGGGGAAACTGACCCAGTGTGGGATTGGGACTGTGGAGCTCGTGGGGGTCGGCAGTGAACTTTATGAGTGGGTGGAGACCTTCTCCCTCCCTTTCCCTAGATCCTCTTCTGTATCCTTTTCTTTCCTTTCTAGGGGTGAACTGTGTGGCCTTTTGTGATTCGGTTGTGTCTGTGCAGCAGGGCTTTTGGAGGAGAGGCAGCCGCTTGAAGGAGACACTATTGCCTGGGACTTTGGGCGGGGCTCTGAAGAGATGATGTAACCCTCGAGGGAGGAGTTGTAGTTTGACAGATGGTGGCAGGGGGTATCTTAGGCCAAGAGTAGTAGGCGCCGAGGCAGAAGAGGATGGTGAGGGGGTTGCTTGGAAGAAGTGAGAGATGACTTCCGGGTGGTGGATTGTGTATAGGCTGTGAAGGGCTTTGTTTTTCATGCTCAAGCATTGGACCTCGTCCTGTAGGTGATGGCTGGTTCACAAGTAAGAGAAGCAGAAAGCATAGTTCTCCCCTCAGGAAGCTTTTTTCTAGGGTAGCTGGGAAGACGAGACATAAACATATTCTCCATTTGGAGCAGTTGAAGGCAATATGTAGGCGCTGGGGTGTGTGGTATGGGTCATTCGGATTTTTGAAATTGGGACTGGCTGGGTTGGTGGGGTTCCATAGAGCGGGGAAGGAGAGGAGGTGGAGCAGCACATTCTGCAGCCCTGCGTAGGATCTGCGGTCCCCCAGAGGATCCGCGGTCCCCCGGAGGTTCCGCCGTCCCGCAGAGGTTCCGCAGTCCCCCGGAGGATCCACGGTCCCCCGGAAGTTCCACGGTCCCCCAGAAGTTCCGCAGTCCCGCAGAGGTTCTGCAGTCCCCCGGAAGATCTGCGGTCCCGCAGAAGTTCCGCGGTCCCCCAGAGGTTCCGCCGTCCTGCTGAGGTGCTGTTTGTGCGGGCATGTAGCAGGGCTTCCCAGGGGCAGTGCGGGTGCGGATGACACAGAGCCTTGCTGGCTTCCCCATGAGACCTTACAGAGGGTCAGTCTGGGATGTTGGCAGTGAGGTCAGAAAAAAAGGCGTACCCTAGAGACATCAGAAGGGAGAATTAGTCTTGCTCAGAGACTGGCATCGTTTCAGTTCTCTGGCCCCAGTGCTGGGTCGTACATCTTCCAGGCACAGGCACTGAGGCACTTGGAGAGGAGTTCATCCTTCCATGTGTGCTGCCTGAGGTGATTTGGGGCCGTCAGGATAAAATACAACTCTGAGATTGGAGTTTGATGAGACGGAGTAGAAAGGTTCAAAGTGTGAGTTGTGCTTCTTTGCGGAAAGGAACGTGGAGGAAGTTGACAACCTAAGGCCGAGGAAGAAGATGGCAGAGAGGGAAAACTGGGGAAGTGATAGGAGAAATCTCAGGAAGGAGGAGTGTCCAGAACAAGGCACTTCATTTGAAAGTTCGTGACTAAGGAAAGAGGAGGATGGGGCCTGACGGAAGGCTACACTGGAGAGGGTGCAGGGGGGTTTCTGGGACGAGGAGGTGTGGTGAGGGAGGAGGAGAGCGGCAGTGTCTGCTCCACAGCAGGAGGGTGGACATGGCCCTGGGGGACAGCAGGGCCACTGAAATGTCTCCTTCAGGCCCGGGCGTGTTTGCGACGTGAAGGCAGGCGATCTGGAAAGGGCCCGGGAGCCACGTAGGGCGGGGTGGGCGATCCCCCAGGGCTTCAGAGTCACCTGCTGATGAGGAGTGGGGTCTACAGACGTTTCCAGGGGTTAGTTTTCAGAGGTCCAAGTGTGGGTGAATGAGATAAACGTTCGTTGTTTGCGGTCAGCTGTAATGCCACTCCCCCTCCCGAGGCTGGATAATTAGAAGTGAATTCTACCATCTTGCACTGTAATGAGCTGTGTATACAAGCAATACCTGGAAAAGAAGGACCTTATGAGAGTGTCTGTCCAGAATCCTTTTTCTCCCCGTAAGTAGCTTTTTGTTTAATTTTTGTTAAATAGAAATGTAATATACAAGGGGTGCCTGGGTGGCTCGGTTGGTTAAGCATCTGACTCTTGATTTTGGCTCAGGTAGTGACCTCACGGTTTGTGAGAGCCCCGCTTTGGGCTCTGTGCTGGCAGTGCAGAGCCTGCTTGGGATTCTGTCTCTCCTCTCTCTCTGCTTCTTCCCCCTGTGTGCGTGCTGTCTCTCTCTCTCTCTCTCTCTCTCTCTCTGTCTCTCGTGTGCACAAGCTCTCTTTCTAAATAAATAAACTTAAAAACATAAAAAAAGAAATGTAACATACAAAACAGAAAAGAAGACTAAAAATTCATATATATGCATTTTTAAAAATACTGAAAAATTTAAGGTAGAAAAAAAAAATCACCCACAACCTTACTACCCACAGTAATTACTACTAAAATTAGTACAGGGGTGCCTGGCTGGCTCAGTCGGTAGAGCATGTGACTCCTGATCTTAGGGTTGTGAGTTCAAGCCCTACGTTGTGTGTAGAGATTACTTAAAAATGAAATCTTAAAGAGGTGCCTGGGTGGCTCAGTCAGTGAAGTGTCTGGCTTTAGCACAGGTCATGATCTCATGGTTCTTGTGCTCAAGCTCCACATTGGGCTCTCTGCTGGAGAGTGCAGAGCCTGCTTCCGATCCTGTGTTTCCTCTCTGCCCTTCCCCTGCTCGTGATCTTGCGTGCTCTCTCTCTCAAAAAATAAACATTAAAAAAAAAAGAAATCTTAAAAATTTATTGTATGTTCTTTTAGTTGTTTTGTTCTCTTGTAAGTAACATTTTAGTATTATGAGTACATAAAAAAACAAAAACAAGGACAAAAAAGCCTGGGTTGAAGTGTAGTAGTTCTCCTTTATCCGTAGTTTCAGTTATCCGCAATCAACCTCGGTCTGGAGGCAGATGATCCTCCTGACGTACTGTCGTCAGAAGGTCAGTAGTGGCCTAACACCGGGTCACAAGGCTACGTCACTCACCTCACATCCTGTCCTCACATAGGCGTTGCATCATCTCACGTCATCACTAGAAAGGTGAGTACAGGACAGGAAGATATTTTGAGAGGGGAGAGCACATTCACATAACTTTTTACGGTATATTGTTTTAATTATTCTCTTTTATTATTAGTTATTGGTAACCTCCCTGCCTAATTTATAAATCAAACTACCCTAGGTGTGTATGGGAAAGAACATAGAATATAAGGGTTCGTACCGTGGGACATGTCAGACGTCTCCTGAGGGTTTAGGAACACATGTCCCAGGGCTACCCGATCAGCGAGTTGTTACATTCCGTGCACCTGCTAAATCGTTTCTAGGCTGCAGGTGCTAGGGATTAAACTCCGTCTGCACTGGTGTGTGTTCTAACAGAATTTTCCCCCCACCCCCAGCCTCTTTTTTTGTCTTCAGAATTTTAATTGTTCTTTTAAAATTGATTTATATGATCTAATTTCTCCTCGTGCTTTTTTTTCTGTTTTGTAAAAATTATTAACTTCGGCAGATTTCAGCTCGTAATTAGTTGACTTGGGCATTTCTCAGCGAATTACTTTCATGTTATCCATTCGCAGTTCTTAGGCTGGCAGTAAGCAAGTTACAGATGTGCTCTGTGTTAGGCTTTCCCTTCTGTGTCTCTCTTACTCTTCTCAGCTTCCGTTTCTAGGGGCTTTCAGCCTCCAGCACACGGACAGAGGGAAGGAAAAGCGGGGGGCCTGTGGGGGTTCTCTGAGAGGAGAGTTAAGTTGAGAAGCAACATGATTGGGTAATAGGAAAGGAACATTTTCGGGGTGTCTGGCTGCCTTAGTTGGAAGAGTGTGTGACTCTTGATCTTGGGGTCGAGTTTGAGTCCTTTGTTGGGGGTAGAGGTTACTTAAATACAACTGAAAAAATAAAAAAGAAAAATAAAAAGGAGCATTTTCTCTATGTAGAGACTGGTGCAGCCTATAAATGGTAGGGACAGTGTTAGAGTAGTTCCAGATGTGTTTTCCGTAGTAAAAGTAGCGATGGAAACTAGCTACCAAAGTGAGCTTCTCGTATGTTTGTTTAAAACGTCTTTTATGTTGGTTCAGTTTTGAAATGTTGACACCATTAACCTAAAAATTATGAAGATTGTTGATTAAATGAGAGCACTATGTTGGGGCATCTGGGTGGCTCAGTTGGTTAAACATCTGACTTCGGCCCAGGTCATAATCTCTTGGTTCACGAGTTCGAACCCTGCATCAGGCTTGTGCTGACAGCTCAGAGACAACCTGGAGCCTGCTTTGGATTCTGTGTCTCCTTCTCTCTCTCTCTCTCTGCCCCTCCCTGCACACGCTCTGTCTCTTTCTCTCTCTCAAAAATAAATAAACATTAAAAAAATTTTTTTTAAAAAATGAGAGCACTATGCTGTGCTGTTGATTGAAGTTCTCTTTTCTAAGGTATTTGACTGAGAGGAACTTTTGATTTGACGGACTCAGGGCTTCACTTCTTGTCCAGTCCCCGTTAAACGCAAAAGCCCTCAGATGTTTTGACGTCATGGAGTAACCATGGGCTCCAGAAATGGAGGACGGAAGATTGAAGAGTAGACGCAGTCAATGATTGATTCATACTTAATTTAAAACTAAAACTTCTTTTCTTTGTTGGAGTGTGGAGGGTGGTCCGGTTTCAAATCCTGTTTACGCCAGTTGAACCTGGCCATGTTGATGAGGTAGTAGTCTAGAGAATAGAGGCTACTTTGGGTAGAGCTCAGTGATAAACAACCTGATCTTTTTTTGAAAAAAATTTTTTTATTTTATGAGATCTTCCTTCTTAATGGATTTCTTAAAAATGTTTATTTAATTTTGAGAGAGAGCGAGCTGGGGAGGGGCAGAGAGAGAGGGACAGAGGATCCAAAGCGGGCCCTGAGCTGTCAGTACGGAGCCTGACATGGGGCTCGAACCCACAAACTGCAAGATCATGACCTGAGCCAAAGTTGGACGCTTAACCAACTGAGCCACCCAGGCGCCCCTAAAAATTTTTTGACTTTATGATATGCAGACGTGGAAGAACTTCATAAATACAGAGGGTGCATAGTGAAAAGTTAGGCACCCCTTCACTCTGTCCTCTGGACCCCAAGTCTTTGTCTTAGAAGCAGGCAGGCAGTTCAGCAGTCCCTTGTGTATAGTCTGTAGATCTTCCGCCCGTACACAAGCCTGTATGTATTCTTCTCATCGTGACAACTTGGTTCTAATGTTTACTTTTGATCCAGCAAATGCTGTATCAAAAAAGAAATGCTTTGCTTTTCGAACACCCCATCTTCCCCAGAAGAAGGAACGATGGCACTGATGAAGAGTTGAGATGAAAAGGAGAAAGTTGTCTAGTGAACCATAGAATCAACCACGTATTTATAATTTGATGGTGGTTTTTCCTCAACTGCTCTGTAAAATTTACAGAGTCAGAAAGTTCAGGACATTTTGTAATGGATATCATTTATAGAGATTAAATGTGGTGTTAATGATTGTCCATATAAAATGTCCCTTTGTCATCAGAAGTATAACACCCCCCACCCCACAATTATGGTTCTGATTTCTCCATAGGAAAAAAATGCATACCTCAAAGCATATTAGAAGTAGAAAGACCTTAGCAATTATCTGGTTCAGCTCCCTGACATTAGGTGAGCAAATTGGATCTGAGCTTTGATTTCGGTATTTTTCTTAGGATACTGTCTTTAAGAGAGAGGAATACCTATGTGGTATGTGCATCATTAATGAAATTACCCAGCTGAAGAGGACTTTGTAACAAAATGCTGATTTCTGCAACCTGGTATGATTGCAAATGGCACAGTGTGGAGCAACCCTTGTGATTCTTCCAGGAAAACCTCAGTCTGGAGGGGAGATGCCTTCACTGCCTCTAGGCGCCCACTCTGCCAAACCGGGAGCCCTGCCTGGGAAGTCCCCTCCGTCACATGTCTGTGCCTGTCCCCAAGAGAAGCCACTTGGGACTCTGGCTCCACAAGCTGAGGATGAGACAGAGGACGGCGGACTCTTCATTCCGATGGGTAGGCTTTGTTTCTCTTTTTTCTTTTTTAATTAAAAAAAAAAATCCTCTCTATTGAAGTATAGTATGACGCACAATGTGGAGAAAACTGCACGTATCTTAAGAGATCCAAGTTCACTGAATTTCAGAGATGGCAAACACCCATGCAAGCAGGAACTGGATCAAAACCAGAATATTACCTGCACCCAGGACCCTCCCTTTCAGTTACTACCAACACCCCACCCCTGCGGGACCATTATTCTGACTTCCTGGTTCACCTGTTTTGTACTTTATGCGTGGAATCATATGTATGTGTGTTTTGTGACTGCCTTTTTCCGCTTGTGTTGTCGTGTTATGAAATTGGCCCCCGTTGCTGCACGTACTTGTGGATTGCTCGTTTTCATTGCTGTGTAGTAGCCTGTTGGAGTGTTCTACTATTTCTTAATCCATCAGCTCTTACCGGGCATTAGGATGGTTTCTAGTTGCAGGCTACTCTGACTGGTGCTGCCGTGGATGTTCCTGTTGCAGGTGTCTGGGTGAGCATCTGCACCTGATTTTCCTTGGGTGTAATTGCTAGGTCATAGGATTAGGCCTCTTTACATTTGTTTGAAATATTGTACGTAAAAAAAATTTGTTTTTAATATTTATTTTTGAGAGAGAAAGAGATCGCGAGTGTGAGTGGGGGAGGGGCAAAGAGAGAGGGAGACACAGAATGCTAAGCAGCTCCGGGCTCTGAGCGGTCAGCAACAGAGCCCGACGCAGGGCTTGAACCCACAAGCTGTGAGATCATGACCTGAACCGAAGTTGGATGCTCAACTGACTGAGCCACCCAGGTGCCCCTAAATATTGTATTTTTTTATTGTGAATTATAACACATACACACAAGTGAATAAAGACTTCTAGGGGCACCTGGGTGACCCAGTCGGTTAAGTGTCTGACTCTTGATTTCAGCTCAGGTCATGATCTCACGGTTGTGTGATCCAGCCCCTGTGCTGACTGTGGAGCCTGCTTGAGAGTCTCTCTCTCTGCCTCTCTCCTGCTCGAGCTTTATCTCTCGAAACAGATAAACATTTTTTAAAAATTAAAAAAATTATGTAACAGCCACCACCATCAGCATATGGGATGTCTCTCTGACCGCAGAAGTTCTCTCATTCCCCTCTGCAGGCCGTCATCCTCCGCCCTTGGCACTTGCCAGTCTCCCTTCTGTTCTGGCAGGTTCCCGTTTTCTACGGTGTTATCACGCGTGTGGTGTCATACAGTACGGAGCCTTCCGCATCTGGTATCTTTCACCTAGTCTGATGCCTTTGAGATTCATTCGTGCTTTCATCGCTGAGTAGTATTCATTCTGTTCCAACGAAGGACCACAGTTTGTTTACCTGTTCACCAGTTGATGGGCATTTGGATTGTTTCCAGGTTTTGCCTGAAACTGCTATAAATATTCACATGTAGGTCTTTGATAGACATAAATTTTCATTTTTCTGGGGTAAATAACTAGGAGTGTCATTGCTGGGGCTTATGGTTTATGTTTAACTTTGTAAGAAACTGCTGAACTGTGTTCCAGGGTGGCCGGACCATCTTACACTCCCACCTGCAGTATGTGAGATTTGCAGCTGATAGCCTCCAGCCAGCCGCTGTCAGACGTTTAATTTTATCTGTTCTAGTAGGTGTATTTCCTCCTGGTTTTCAATTGCATTTCCCCAAGGAATAATGCTACAGAGCATATTTTCATGTGTTTATGGCCATCTGTAGATCATTTTTGGTGAAATGTTAGTTCATTGTTCTGTTGTTTGCCTTCATTCCTTTTGTAATTAGTACATATCTTGCAGGAAATACTTTAAAACTATGCATCTATCCTGTTCATTTTCAAATCTTTGTCCACTAATTTTAGCATCCATTGGTAGATTGCCTGTAACAGGCTTTTTTTTTTTTTTTTTTTTTAAAATTTTTATGTTTTTTTTTTAAAAGAGAGAGAGAGAGAGAACCAGCAGGGGAGGGGCAGAGAGAGGGAGGGATCCAAAGCAGGCTCTGTGCTGACAGCAGAGAGCCTATCGCGGGGCTCAAACTCACAAACCATGAGATCGTGACCTGAGCCAAAGTTGGATGTCCAACTGACTGAGCCACCTAGATGCTCCATTACTGTGTTCTTCTAATGGCAATTTTTTATTTCTCTCATGCCTTCTACTTCTATTAATTGGGATTTTCTATAAAGAAGAGCTGTCCTGGGGCACCTGGGTGGCTCAGTCAGTTAAGTAAGTGTCCGCCTCTTGATTTTGGCTCAGACAGGTCATAATCCCATGTTTCAGGAGTTCATGAGTTTGGGCCCTGCATTGGGCTCTGCACTGATAGCATGGAGCCTGCTTGGGATTCTTTCTCTTCCCCCCACCTCTCCCTTGCTCACACATGCTCTCACTCTCTTTCCCTGAAAAGAAATAAACTTTAAAGAGGACCTGTCCCTTCTTCATTATTTATTTATTTTTTCAATTTTTATGTGAGTGTGGACTGAGATATTTATTTTATTATTTGAGTTACAATGCAGTACTGTCGTTACCTTGCTCACGTTGTTTTAGTGTTAGCTACAGGGAGATACTCCAGGATTTATTTTTGTGGAATATGGTTTTGGTGTCATATCAAGGAACACTGCCTAATCCTGGGGCACCCGGCCGGCTCAGTTGGGGAACCTCGAGACTCTGGATCTTAGAGGGTTGTGAGGTCGAGCTGCACACTGGGAGGAAAGCAGACTTAAAAAAAAAAAAAAAAGATTTAAAAAAGAAAAGGAACTCTGCCCAAACTGAGGTCACAGAGTTTCTTTTCTGCAAGTTGTATGGTTTTACATATTACATTTAGGTGTATGAACCATGTTGAGTTAATTTTTGTATCATCATGTGTGAGGTATGTTTGAGACTCTCTTGCATGTGGATGTTCACTTATTTCAGCACTATTTTTGGAAAATATTTTTTCTCCATTTAATTACCTTTGCACATAGGGCACCTGGGTGGCTCAGTCGGTTTGTCGTCCGACTTTGGCTCAGGTCATGATCTTGCAGTTTGTGAGTTCGAGCCCTGCGTTGGGCTCTGTGCTGACAGCTTGGAGCCTGGAGCCTGGAGCCTGCTTCGGATTCTGTGTCTCCCTTTTTCTCTGCCCCTCCCCCATTCACACTCTGTGTCTGTCTCTCTCAAAAATAAATAAATAAAAAAACATTTAAAAAATTAAGAAAAAATAAGTTACCTTTGCACCTATGTAAAAAAATCACTTGGCCATATTAGTGTGGACTTTTCTGGACTCTGTTCTGTCCCACTGATCTGTGTGTCTAACCTTTCACCAACACCACACAGGCTCGATCAGTATAACTTCACAGGGAGTGTCGAGGTCGGGTAGTATGAATCTTCACTTTGTCCTTTTTATTTTTATTTTTTATTATTTTTAATGTTATTTTTGAGAGAGAGAAAGAGAGAATGCGTGTGCACAAGCCGGGGAGAGGCAGAAAGAGAGAGAGACACAGGATCTGAAGCAGGCTCCAGGCTCTGAGCTGTCAGCACAGAGCCTGACGTGGGGCTTGAACTCAGGAACCACATGATTATGACCTGAATGGAAGTTGTATGCTTAACTGACTGAACCACCCAGGTGCCCGCCGCCCCCCCCCCCCGCCTTTTTAAAACAAGGTTATTAAACTATTCTAGGTCATTTGCATTTCCATGTAAATTTGAGAATTGGATTGTTATTTTCTTCAAAAATACTTGCTGAAATACTGATTGGAAATGAATCTGTGGATCAATTTGGGAAGAAAGTTGTCATCTTAACAGTATTGAGTCTACTAATCCGTAGCAAGATACATATATTTATTTAGACGTTTAAAAATTTCTCTCAGCAGTATTTTGTAGTTTTTACCATATACATTTTTCACTTACATTTTAGATTTATGAAACATGCTTTTTTTTTTATGCTTATGTCAGTTTTTCTTTTCAACTTCTAGTTTGTTGCCAACATACAGATAGAGTAGGCTTGGGTATATCAGTATATCTTGTGACTTTGCTATAAATTCATTTATTAGCTGTCTATACTTTATAGATTCTTTTTTGTTTTTATTTTATTATTATTTTTTAATGTTTATTTATTTTTGAGAGAAAGAGTGCAAGCGGAGGAGGGACAGACAGAGGGGGAGACGTAGAATTGGAAGCAGGCTCTAGGTTCTGAGCTGTCAGCATAGAGCCTGACATGGGGCTTGAACCCAGGAACAGAGAGATAATGACCTGAGCCGAAGTCAGATGATCAACCAACTGAGCCACCCAGGTGCCCCCATTCTTTTTTGTTTTTGAAGAGTTTATTTGTTTTGAGAGAGAGGGAGAGAGAGAATCCCAAGCAGGCCCTGCGCTCACAGTGCAGTGAGATCGTGACCTGAACTGAAATTGAGTCGGACGCTTAATGGACTGAGCCACCCAGGCACCCTTACTTTATAGATTCTTTAACAATTTCTTACAGAGATAATTATGTCATCTGAGAAGAAGGGGTTTTTTTTTGACCTTCGTTTCTCTTTCTTCCTCTTCTTCCCTTTATATCTCCCTCCCTCTTTCTCTTCCTTTCCATTTGTCAGTCCCCCTTTACTGTGTACAACCCTGAGGGGAAGTGGCGAGAGGGGTCGTCTTTCCTGTGTTCCTGGTCTCAGGGAAGTATGTTCCGTCTTTCACCGTGGAGCTGAAGCTGGTTTATGGCTGTGGTGTATTGGATTGAGGAAGTTCTCTACTGTTCCCAGTTGCTGAGAGTTTTTATGGTGAATTGATGTTAGATTTTGTGAAAAGCTTTCTCTGCCTCTATTGAGATTGTCTTTTGTTTTGTTTTTGCTTTTGATCTGTTGATATAGTGAATTATATTGATTGATTTTCAAATTTGAAAGCAATTTTGCATTTCTGGGGTAAGCCACACCTTTTGGCCATGATATATTACCCTTTTTATACATTGCTGGATTTGACTTGCTAGTATTTTAAAGATTTTTGTATCTGTGGTCAATAGTTTTCTTGTACTGTCTTT